ATATATATATATATATATATATCAATATATGCTGATAGAAAGTAGAACACAGTCATTCTCAGTGCAGGCAAGGGCCTGGTGAGGAGGAGCTGGCTGGTGAGATCAGCTGTGGGAGGAGCATGCCATTGAAGTAGATCACTGATCTTTAAAATTTAACTTTGATACAGTGAAGCCAGTGCTCTGTGTTTTAATGAAGGCAGTGAAATAATCCCTTGGAGGACTGTGATCAAGCACGTGTAAAATCTTCTGTTTGTGACTCTGGCTAGCCGCAGCTGGTGCAGAGAGTGAGGATTACAATGCTGCTAATATTTTAAGTAAACAAGACAGAAGCTTGATACCAGAGTCTGTGAAGAAGCATTTCCAAGTAGAAGTATGCCCGTGCTTGATTGCTGGTTGTGGAATTAAGGAAACCACAGAACCTTTTGCAAATATGGTTCACTGGCAACCTGTGCTTGCTACTGAAATACTTCCCTGAAGAATGAAACGTGGGAACTGTTTTCTGACAGGCCCACAGGCATTTAGGGCAGAAGTATGCAGCGTAAAATTCAAACAAGAACCTTAGAGAGTATCATCTTCAGAAAGATTATTTATCTTTTATTCTGGTAGGCTATGAAAAAATGCTACTAAATGGGCCAAGGATAGAGTTAAAATTGCGTTAAAATGTAGTGCCTTTCAGTGCTGTGACACGTTATCTTTGTGATTTCTAGGATTAGTGTCATTACATCCTTACTCTGAACAAAATATCTGATAGGGACTGAGAAGGTTCTTACATTATTATGGCTGAGTATTATGCCCGCTATAATGAACATGCTTCTGGTCTGTCACTCTACTTACTGGTTTATTATTTATTTTTGTATGTAAGTGACATTTGGTGTTAACCAAAGCAAGAAAACAACAAAACGTAAAATCATTGTGTGTTTTCTTACGCCATGGTGACGAGTAAGTTGCTGGAAAAAATGAAGTATTAAGATAAATGCCAGACATTGAAGTGAAAAGGATGTTTTAAAGAGCAGGAAGTGCAAAGGGTGTCATTACGGTAGTAACCACAGCAACTGCTACAGTTAAAGTTGTGAATAAATTTTGTGTGCATTTCTGTGAAAACTGAAGGAGCCTGGGGTTTTGTTGCCTTAGCCTTCGAAGATTAAAGTTATAGGCTGCTTTTTCACTAATGTAGCAGGTACTTGTTCAGTCGTAGCATAAATCGAATACCTCATTAAAAGTAAGAATTCTTCCCTTGCTGATCAACTGAGAAGTGAGGGAGAAGGAGGCAGTGGAACCAAGTATTTTATTTCAACAGTGTTCTTCACATGTGTAGGCAAGGGTCCAAGAAACGAGAGGCAGTAAAAGGATGGAAGCAGTGAGAAATCTGCTGGCTCTTCTCAAAATATATGAAAGTAGGGAGAGAAGAAAGACATGTGAGGGAGTGCTGCATAGCTGGGGAAAGAGAGGCAGTTTCACCTAGCTTTGTTGAATTCTTGAAATGTAGTTTGGTTTTACACCTAAACTTTGTATTTTGTGAGGTTTTTTAGTGATAACTCCTCGTCCAATATGCCATGTAGGCAGCTCTCTGTAGCCCAGAACACACAGGCTCGAGGGGTAAAACATGAAGACAAATAGGTTCATAGATACTATTTGATTCAACTAAAGATAATGACAGAATTGAGGTTGAGATACTTTTTTGTTTCCCTGTCATGTTAGGTGCTCTTGCAATTAGAATTCTAGTTTTGTTACTCAATGTAAAGTAAGGTGACATTATGAAAGAGGCAGGTCCTTGATTAGCAGCTCTTACAGTGTCATTCTGACCTCAGTGTCAGCAGATGGTTTGCTTTCCAGGTATTGCGGAGTAATACTGATCTTAGGACAATAATCACATGCTTTTTTAACTTGTTTTGCCAGATACACGGACTGAGGTGTGCCTTTTACCCTCTTGGAAGTGAAGCGCTATGGAGCAGTACACAGCAAATAGTAACAGTTCCACGGAGCAGATCGTTGTGCAGGCTGGACAGATTCAGCAGCAGGTATGGAAAGTGATAACGGGTGAGCTGGCATTGCCAGTGCTGAGTTACAAATCTGTTTGTACTTCTCAGAGTTTCACAGAACCAGGAAGATGCTTCATGATACTGTCTGGGTATATGTTTACCTGACTTTTGGCACCCGGTCAGTGATCTGACTTGCCTTGAAGTCAGAGTAAATATTTTTTTCTAAAATACTTATTATTAAATTACTAAAATTGCAGGTATACAGGTTACCAAATTTCAGTGTAGTAAGGAGTTTGAAAACTGGTAGTGATACGAAGAAAATAACAAATCCTCTCTGAAAACAGGAAACAATTAATCTAAACAGTTGTCCACAAGGAACAATGTAGATTCCCCCCCAAACCGAAACAGGTTTTGTTCAAGGCCATAGAGGCCTTCTCTAGGCTTAAAAGAAGTTGGCTTTGAGATCTGTTCTTTTACAGGCGGATCAAAAAGAACAGACAGTACAGGAATTGCAACAAAACATGTAGCTTTGGATGAGTTCTTCCATTCTAGAAAGAAGTTTCTAATTCGTATTATAATATGCAGATGGGGGAACTGTTGGGGTTTTTTTAAGGGCTTACAGATTTTTGCTGTTGTCTTCACCCATTCAGATACAGTAATGCATCTTCAGATGAGCTGTGTGGCTGATGAGTTTTTGTTGCATCTTATGTTAGTTCTAGTTTGAGGCAAGAGGAGTTTCTTAGTTTGTTGTGAAAATGAAATAAGCCATTGGATTATGTTTTCAGTGAGATACACTTTGCTTTGTCTTCATCCCATTTGAGTGTTTGATAGTGGGACCAGCTTCTTCCACTTAATTTAGTTGAAGTTGACTATTTCAGTAAGAATAAGATTGTATTTGAGGTTAAAAATTATATATTAAGAATTACCAAAAATACCTGCTTCCAACAGGTAACCAAAAATTTATTTGGTTTTATTGATGCTTTGTAGGTAAAAAGGAGATAAAAACATAGCTTGGCTTGTGTAATTTTTAGTACGTGCTCTTAAAGTCTGTGTTGTCTTTGACATGAAATATTTTTCTAAAATTTTTTTCAGTAGGCCTGTTGTAGTACAGCTTTTAGTAGAGAGATGTCCTTCATCTCCCAAAACACTAAGACAGTTAATGCAGATTATTTTGGGACTCTTACTAAAGAGGCTAAAGATAGAAAAGGCTTTTAGATTTAACTGCTCTTGCAACCTCTCAAGATTGTCCTTCAAGGTCAGTGGTGGAAGACATTGATGCAGGGTGACATAGATGAAGCTTAGACTGTAGTCATCTGTGCTGTTCTTCTGTACAGAAAGCATTTTATGGCCTTTGTTGTAACTAACAAGTCTGACAAAAATTTGGAATCCCCTCACAGGAAGAAATCTGGCCTGTGAAACATTGAGCAGAAAGGTAGCAGTCTAAAACAACGAAGCTGAGATTTTAAATTCTGCAAAACAATATCTCGTTTTTTTTGTAAGTGACTTCTGTTTGGGATATTGAAGCCTGCCAGTATCATATGTGGTTGTGTTGGTATTCCATTCTTAGGTTTGCTAAACGTATTCACGTTCCTTATGTTCCAAGAGCAGTGTGTATGAATTTTAAATTCACCCTCTTCCAGCAAAGTGTCGTTGTCTCTTGTCAGAGCTGTGCATTTCCATGTTTCAAGCTATTCCTGTTCCTATTCCCAGCAGCAGGGTGGTGTCACTGCTGTCCAGTTGCAGACTGAGGCCCAGGTGGCATCCGCCTCAGGCCAGCAAGTCCAGACCCTCCAGGTAGTGGTGATCTCTCTAATTGTGTTTGTGAGCACTGCATGACTCTCACCATTGCCACATATCTAATGCTGTGTTTTTTCCAGGGTTTGAAATAGGAACAGGAGAATTTGTTAGCAGCGGTATCTGTGCTTTATACTAGCTGTAGGGATTTCCATGAAGAGCGTGGGATTATAGCTTTTCATTGGATCTCAGGTGCATGCCAGAAACCCTGATGCATTCATGAATTCCTGCTGCTGTAATTCTGAAAGTAAATAGTGGTTGAAATGGGACTTAAAAGGAAAAAACACCAAGATGAGGAAGCAACAGGCAAGAGGTATAACCCAAAGATTTCCTGTAGTTCAAAGAGATTAGATGTCTGCTATCCACTGTGAGTAGTTCTGTGTCTTCACTACATGAAAGACAGAGAGGTGGTGGATGACCCATGAGCGAAACGTTTTCATCTGTGATTAAAAAGGGCACCTGGGGACAATATTGGTCTCTGTGAGACTGAGATCCGATTTCTTATTTATGTGTGAACAACACAGGGAGATCCAGCAGGAATATGTATCCTAACAGTAAATACATCACAAATTGGAAAGAAATGCAAGGTTATTTCAAACCCTGATTTGTTTCAATACAAAGTATTTTCTCTCTTGAAAACTTAATTTCATTAGCTTACATAGGAGGCTTTTTTAAAAGGGTTGATAAGCCCTGGGTGGCTGTAGCAGTTTAGCATTTTCCACTCAGTGTTTTGGTTCTGTTTGTTTTTTAATTCTTCAGAGGAGAGTTCCAAGAGGCCAGAATGGTCTTGCTGGGTGTAAAGTTGAACACAGCATTTATATTCAGAGTTAAAATATGAAAAGCTGGCTGACTGAATTGCTCGGGTCACTGCGGCCTCCTGGTCATTGTTATGTGCCTCCCCCTCTTTTTCTCTTTTTCTTTTTTCTTTTTTTTTTTTGGCTTGCTCTTAATACATTAACAAGAATCTTGGAATGCATCATTTTTCTTTCTGCTTATTGGATATTGTACTGCTGACTGTGCTTCTCTGGCTGACACGAGCATGCTTATCTCTCTCTCTGTTGTAATTCAAAACAAGTCCTACCAATTTTTGTTAGGGACTTGTATGCAGTAGTTACAAGGTTGAGGAACAGAACAGTGTCGCAAGGGTATTAGGTGACCTGTAAAGTCACAATATTCTATGTAGGGCATTGATCACTGTGGTTGTTTCCATGGATGTGTTAGCATATAATTCACTAAGGTATTTGAACTATGCAAAGCAAAGCTTTTTTTAGGTAGTTCAGTATGTGCTGAAAATCCTTACTGAAGTTTAGCCTGGTATGGTGGTTGGAGAGTGAGCATTTGCTATTGCATATTCTTGACATTTCCAAGTAGAAAACCAAAGAACTTGGTGTGGGTTTTTTTTAATCATGTTGTGTTGCTCTGGTTTCTAAACAACTCAGAGCATGGTAAAGAGGGATTACCTAGTTCATAAGACTCGTTTCACATTCAAACTGTGGAGGTGTGCTATTTTCAGAGACACATTTAGGGATGCTTGGGTAGGTAGCGGTTGAGGATGTTTAAACATAGGGGTTTTCCCCTTGCTTTTCTTCCCATTGGCCTTTTTCCTAGTAACCAGAGACATACCTGGTCTCTGTATGTCTCTGACAGACAGTCCAGAGACTCTTACACCCAATTTATAAATCTGCTGTAACCTTAGCAGCATCCACTTCTTGGCCCAATAGATTTTCCTTCACTCTTCCTTACTGAACTGCATTTGTGAAATTTATAATTTCACTTAACCATGAAAAGGTTCTCAAAGAACATCACATGCTGTGTATCAGTTAGGAAGTGTAAACATGTAGTTGGAGAGAGTTGAAGCTACCTCAGAAACTCTGTCAGAGTAGCTTCTTTAGAGCTTTCTTGTTAGGAACCCCAGTTAAAGATTAATAATAGTTATGTGGATAATGAATTTTCTTTTATTACACTTTGCTCTTGGCCTGTGCATGAAGGAAGTTATGTGTCTGGAAAATTTAGCCATGCTTTTCATGCTTTATTGCAAGTAGACTTGGAAGTTTTGCTTAGACTGCAACAGAAAAGGATAATTTATTAAATCCAATAGCACATCATGGAAAAAGTTTTAGAATCTAAAGATAATTGATGCTGACTGTGAACCCAGGTTAGTGACTGTTGCTCAGTTTCCCCGGTCACCGCATTAAAATGGGTAAGCGTTTAGCCTCATGTGGTAGCCACTTCAGTTTCTAGCTTTGTGTCACCAGACTTTTTCATTGTTCTGTTTGTTTTTTCTCCTCTTTCCTAGGTCCAGGGTCAACCACTGATGGTACAAGTGAGCGGAGGTCAGCTGATCACATCAACTGGCCAGCCGATCATGGTGCAGGCTGTGCCCGGGGGTCAGGGCCAGACAATCATGCAGGTCCCAGTTTCTGGAACACAGGGACTACAGCAGGTGAGAACCCTAATTTTATTTAAGATAAAATGCAGAGAATAAACTGTGATGTTCTCACCTTGTCAGATAGTACGTTTGCCTCAGCACTCTTAAAATAAACGGGGCAAAGATGGGTGTTCTCCAGCTATGGATCTGGCAGTGAGCTGCGGGTTAAGAATGCAATGAAAGTTCTTTGTGTATATGATTTTTGTATTTTATGGGAATGTGCAAACCTTTTAAATGAAGTCCATTAAAATACAGCTAGAGTTGGTTTGTGTTTTTTTTAGTTGAGTTTGGATTTTTTAAATTCTTATTTTAACTGGCCCTTGCAGTATAGTTGGTGATCTGGTGCCTACTCAAATTTATGGCTCAGAAAGAGGATTTTTTTTTTTTTTTTTAATATTTAAGAAAGCTTCTTGAAAATAACTTGTGCTGAGTTCATTTAATGTAAGAAGGTGAAATTTAAACGTTTCAATTGCACCAAAGTTAATACTGTAGAAGGAAGAGAAGATGGATTTTATTAGAAGCAATTTTTGAAATATTTGTCTAAAAGACAGTTTTTAAATTTGAACAGGTGCTCAAAGTGTGTCCCTCAAAAGCAAAAGGAAGAGCTGTAACAGTGGCATAATGAAAGTGCTGTAGTGATTTGAGAATGGGATTTAGGAATCAAGTTCAACACAGTCCAGGAAGGCACATGAGATCTTTCTGTTGCAAGAGGTTTATTTAGTGTTTATTAAAAATTTCTTTTGTTGAAAGATGTTATATTTTGTGTTAGGTTCTTTACAGTCTGGTGGTTGGAGGAAAAATCCTTAACTGGGTTTTTAAGCACAAGCTTTGAACCATAATCTAGTTCCTCTTTTTCAATCTAAGAAATGTTCCACGTTGGTGGAAAAACTTCTGCAAAGCTGAAGACTTTTATATGTATATATATATATATATATATATATCCAGGAGTACTTCTATATGCTGGATTATTAACACTCTACAGATATCTTAAATCTTAGCTCTCTTACTTTTTTTCTTTCACCTGAGTATTATTATTCCTAGGTTCCATGTGAATGATTTATTTCTTTTGACCGTTTTATTGTGTAAGCAGTGGAGAACTGCTAGGGCATAATGACACTAGCATGTTATGTTTCCTCTATTCTGTATGGTTGTGACTGCTGTGTCACAGGGAGGAATAAATTAAAAGTCTTCATTTTAAAATGAAAAAGAGAAGAATCAGTGCTTTCTTTCTTTGCAACAGTAAATCATCCTCAGAGATGATTTGGTAATGCTGAGGCCAAGGAGGGAGAAATAAGAGGTATAGTTAATGTTCCTTTCTGACTCTTTCTTCCACAGATTCAGTTGGTCCAGCCAGGTCAGATTCAGATTCAAGGTGGGCAGGCTGTGCAGGTACAGGGGCAGCAGGGCCAGACCCAGCAGATCATTATACAGCAGCCACAGACTGCAGTTACTGCTGGCCAGACACAGGTAACTGCACCAGCATGAAAGGGTTTTTTTGAGAGAAATAGGAAGAGAAACTTGACAAATGACTTAAGGTGTGGTTAAGTAAAAAAGCGAAAAGAAAAAAAAAAAAAGAGGAATTTTAAATACTGAGGAGAACTTCAGAATAAATTTCATATTTTTGTAGTGTTTTCATGCATAACTCTCGGGCAGAATAAATAGATTGCATGTTTTTATTCATTGTGTTTCTGTATTTTATCGGTTCATGGTGGTTTTTGTCTATTTGTTGAAATTTCAAAACGTGACGTATTGCTAGTTTCATACATGCGCCATTTTGTGAAGTAGCCTAGTCATACCTGGGTTTTCTGCAGATTCTTTTGTTTAGGACCAAAATTAAATTTCCGAGCAGGATAGTTCTTCTTTTAACATATTTACAGTGAGACAGGAAAGCTCAAACTTATTTCTTTCAATATTAAGTACTACACCGTTAGAAAAAGTCTTGGTGCTTTAGGTATGTTATCTACAGTTCAATTGTTTTGTGTTCCATCCTATTTCTTGATGCTGGTAATAAAGCAAAAGAAATAGATGCCTGAGACACCTTAAGCACCATGTGTTAATTCAGGAATTGTAAAATTTGAAAAATAAGCCATTTGTAAAGTTACTGTGTTCTTGTTTTGTTTAGACCCAGCAACAAATAGCAGTTCAAGGACAACAGGTAGCACAAGCGGCTGAAGGCCAGACCATAGTCTATCAGCCAGTTAATGCTGATGGAACCATTCTCCAACAAGGTATGAGCTCTGGTGTGAAAAAGTCAGGACTGCTCGGTATCTCTTTGATAGGTTTTTATTGCCCTTTAATTATTGTCGAAGAAAACCGATTTGTAATGCTACTAGTGCCATGAGTGCTGTGATAGGAGTTGTTGGCATAGTGAATGGAAGATGAGAAGTTTTATGTTATACAGGAATTCAGTCTGCAGTTCTTTCCCCCAAAAAATAAAAATTGGTGCTTTCCTTTGGCAAGAGCTATTAGAATAGAAATGCTTCAGTTTGCTTTTATGCCTTAGAGTACATGATCTCTTATCTGACACTGAGATTACTGTGCAGATACAAATGCAGAAAATAAAGTATGAGAGCCAGGTAATGGAATTTAGTTGACTTGCAATGCTTTTCTGAATCTTTTTGTATGTTATGGAAGGATGAATGAGTAAAAACCAGAAGTGGGACTAATGGTGTTCCCTTCTTTTTGTGTGCGTGTTTTTGGTTTGTTTTTTTTTTCCTCTGTGTGTGTGTTTTATTTTCTTAAAGTTACAGTCCCTGTTACAGGCATGATCACCATTCCAGCAGCCAGTTTGGCTGGAGCTCAAATTGTCCAAACGGGAGCCAACACCAATACAACCAGTAGTGGACAAGGGACTGTCACAGTGACACTGCCAGTTGCTGGAAATGTTGTCAATTCAGGTGGAATGGTTATGGTATGTATTTAACTTCCCACTGATGTTTTTAAAGGTTGAGGTTTAAGATGTGTGTACACAAAATGTTGTCTGAGATTCATGTCATGTTAATAAGGTCAGTCTTCTCAGTAGCTACCACTAGTTCAAAGTTTAGACAATACAACTTTTCAGTTTTAATGGATTGTGTCCTGTTATGATCTATGTATTCTTTACTTTCTTTTTCCCACATCAGGTTATTGGCTTCAGAAATCTAGAAACTGAAATTCAAAATAAGCTGTTAACTGATAGGCAGAGGTGTGAAAAGACTGAATCAACTATTGCTTTTCCTGGGGATCCCTTAGTATTTGTTTATTTGGTTTATAAGAGAGCTTTTTCTGCTAATTCTTACTTTGTAGTGTGAGGCCGTTTAACTTGAATTTTATTGTTTGTCCCCACTAGATGTCAGCAGCTCTACAAGTAACACTTGCTTAAGAAATGCTCTGAAATTATCATATAAATTAAATAAGTGATTCTTGTTGCTTCCCTTTCTTTTTTTGGTTATATTCTGTATGCTTAATTGTACAAGAAGCAGTAATGTGGTCATAAAATCGTATATTGTATTGAAATTTGACCATTATCAGAAAAAAAAAATCAAGTACAACTGATAAGTAGTTGATTTCTTTAAATTTGTTCTGCAGTTTGAGAACAACTTTATTACTCCTTTTTAATTTAAGTAGGTGCGTTAGCTGAGCAAAACCAAACACTTTCCTTTTTAACTTTTTTTTTTTTTTTTACATTTTTGCATTCACAAAGTGTTCTGAGGTACAAGTACTAAAAACATATTCTCTGTGCAGATGGTACCTGGAGCTGGATCAGTACCAGCTATCCAGAGAATACCTTTGCCTGGAGCAGAAATGCTGGAAGAAGAGCCCCTCTATGTGAATGCCAAGCAGTATCACCGGATCCTTAAGAGGAGGCAGGCACGGGCAAAGCTTGAAGCAGAGGGAAAAATTCCCAAAGAAAGAAGGGTGAGAATATAATTCAGATCTAATACAGGGTTGCTCTAGGAGAAAGGCCCAGAAAACCACCTGTGCTGGAAAATGAGGACTAGAGTCTTAGTGTTGTTCAATTTTTCTTTTTTTTGTTCATAAGCTACATCAGTAATTTTAAGTCCCTTGGTGGTAGTTCTGATTTCTTTGCATGGTTTTCATTACAAATGAGTGTTTACTGCAAATACTTCAGGAAAGGGGGAAGGATAAGGACTGGATAGGCTTTTCTAGTCAGGAATTTCCCCCACTGAAAGTACTGAACTAGAAATAGTAGGTTGGGGTCTCATTGCATCCTTCATATTGTTGCAGAAATACTTGCATGAGTCTCGGCATCGTCATGCCATGGCCAGGAAGCGGGGAGAGGGTGGACGTTTCTTCTCACCAAAGGAAAAAGACAGCCCTCATATGCAGGTAAGGAGAATTTTGTCTCTTCTTTGGACAACTGTCGCTTTCAGTTCTGCAGAATACACTTTAGAGGTGTCTTTGTACTGTTGTGTTTGTTCTTTCTTGGGCTAGGCTGCTGACCTTTGTCCCTCTCTGCCCTTGAATTTGTTTTGGGCACTGTAAAGAAACCTTCTGTCTCACTTCTTGTAGACAGCAAGTGTCTTTGCCTTGAGTAATTAAATTATAGTAATATTGATAGAAATGTATTCACTTTGTTTTACATACAGGGAATGCTTGTATTTGTTTGTTCTAAGAACTACAGTCTTTGCAGCCTTTATGGTTGCATACCAGAAGTATTTTTATTTTTAGGATGTGAATTAAAGGTAGAGACACCTTATATCTGATGGAAAATTTTAAAAGGTGAATATCTGATCCTTAGCTGCATATTGATTTACAGAAAAAGTGCAGGACAGGTTTTTAAAGGAAAGGGACACAATAGAGTAGAATTAGCAAATTCTGTTGTTGATCGGTGCTTTAAAGCAGTCCTGTGGCTTTAGCAAAAAAATATTTCTTACTCTGCAGTAGAATCCTTCACAAATACTAGAGTAGTAGTAGGTCTTCCCTATTACCAGAAACACGTTACTGGGAAGTATTAAGATTTGTACCTCCCAGTCTCTTACACTGAGTGTAAAACCCAGGAAAAATATGACATGTTTAGAGATCAAGGGATGGGTCAGGAGTGTTTCCTCTTGATAGTTGTGCATGATTCTCTCTGCTGTTATGGAAAAATGTTGAAGTTACAACATGGTGTGTATTTTGTATCTGTAGGATCCAACTCAGGCCAATGAAGAAGCAATGACACAGATGATCAGAGTCTCCTAACCACTGCTTAAAGAAAAAAAAAAAACCAAAACTGAATAAAATTGCCATCCCTTCTGTAAGTCTGTCCTACCTTTCCAGTGTATCACGTGAGTCTTTCAATGGGACAATCACCATATCGCAGCCTACCCTTTTTTACAGAACAAGCACCACGTTTTCAGTATGTGGGCGAGATTTTAACTGCAGTTGACTCAACAAATAGACACTTAATGACTTTCTTGGTATACTCTTCTGATCCAGCACAGGGATTTCAGAGTTTTTTTTTTTTTTTTTTTTTTTTTTTTCTCCCTTCTTTTAAACATCTCTTGCATTAAGATTGGCCGTGGGTGAGAGTGTGCCACTGACTTGGTGATCAGCAATAACTGGTGTGCTGAAGCAGGGCTGGCAAAGACCTCTTGGAGTTACGGCCCTTCTGTACAGAGACATAATCCAGTTTATAGCAACCAGCACTGATGTGGCTACACCACAGTACTTTGTTTTCCCAGCAGAGACTTGTTATTTACATCCACTCCTTACACCTTTGGACTTCATTGTCAATGAACTGTTCTCTGTTGCATCTGCACTTCTGAAACTGGCAGAAACTGAAGGGGGTTTCTTTAATGTGCCACCTTGTAAAATATTTAAACACCAAGCTCTTCTCTGGGAAAAGTTCAGCCATCCAGTCACAATGATAGAAATATTTCAAGATTATTACAGGACTTGATATATTGTGTATCCGTTCCAAGAAGTAAGATGGGAGAGGGTGATGTGGGGATAAGGATTTAATTAGTAAAAGCAATCTCTTGAGTGGTTTTTTTTGGTATGTTTTATTACCAGTAGTTGTTGCCTTGGAAGAAAAGTGGATGCTAGTATAAAAAGGACTAAAACATTTCAGTGAGTCCCTTCCAAAGGATACTTTTTTTTTTTAACATCTTACTTCTTGACCTGCCAGTCCCGTGCATGGTTCCTGCAAAAGACACAAAAATCTGCAGTCTCAGAGTGATAGCACTTAACTGGCTTTGTGACAGTGTTTCCTGATGTCTGTTCTAAATCAGTTCTACAGTTCTCTCATTCTACACAGTGAGGGATTTTTTTTTTCATGACAGCAAAAGGATAGGGCAACTCAACTCAGCTCATCCTGATGTAACTGAAGGCAGATATTGATGAACCTTTCAGGCTTTTTATAGACTATCCTCTTTAAATAAAAAAGTGGCACTTAATGAAAGAGGAGTACTTACGTTTTTTCAAAAGGATTTTTTCATGACCTACGGCTGGCTTCTGGCTGTGTATCTTGACAAAATACATCTTTATCTCTAATTCTGTAGCTCATTACAGATTTTAAGCTTGTTCCATTCTTACTGATTTGAAATTTGCGATGGAAGCTGTAGTTCATAAGCATTTGAAGAGGTATTATTTGCATCTTCCCATGCCTGGTCTCGTCCCATCTCAGATGAGTTTTACAGATGCTCTGTGTATCACCTGTGTGCTGTAGTCTAACTGCATCACAGCAGTTAAGCATGGGATTGGAAATATTGCCAGGCATTGTCACTGAGGGAAGTGATTATGAACCTGAGTAGGTAAAGTTGCAGAGGGTGAGGTGTTCTTGAGGAAAGCAGCCAAGGATGGGCGAGACTGGTTTAAATTCAGTGAACTCTGTTTTCAAGTGACAAAAATAAGTGAATACAACTTGAAAAATACAACCCATATTATTTCCCCCCTATGTTTTTCCCATTTACTGAAAGTTTATGACTAATGAAAAATGGAGGACAAATTAGCAAGTTGTAGAGGACTGGGAGGAAACAAAAAGACAGAGCCTTGAAAATTCTATTTACTTTGGATAAAAGAGACAAATACTAGACCTAAGAGTGTGAGAAGATGGGAAGGAGTGCAAGAGGAAGGAGCAGAACTGTGGAGAAATGTTAGATTCTGCATTGCCAGCAGGCAGCCTTGGAGGAAGAGTATACCTGTCTAGGTAGTAAGGATGACAGTGTTTAGGTCATGTGTGGAGGTACATAGCCAGTGAAAGAGCAAAGAAGAAATACAGATTTTCTATTTGTAGTTAGGCAGCTGGATTTTCTGAATCACTTTATTTTTCTGAATTTTTAGTTCCATGTTCTTACCCTTACCACAGCTGATAGGGTGAACTGAAGCTGAGAAAGAAACTGTTCAACACAGTGAGACCTGCAGCTGTGGGAGGAGGTGGCCTAGTTCTTGATGCAAATAAATCTTTTGAATTTGTCTTAAATTCTGTTTGTGATCTAATGCTCTACTCAATCTTACATTGGGATTTTTTTCTAATTATTTAAAAGGCATTTGTTTACCTCCATTGCATTCATGGCATCTTTGGTGCCTTTGGTTGCTTCTGCCTTAAAATACTTGGCCAATTAGAGCATGGTGGTTTGTTTCTTCAGTTGGCAACTATGAAATCCTCACCTAGCATTTCTTAAGAGGTCACCCATTTCAGGAAATACGTAGCTCTCTTTTAGTGAAGGAGTAACAAAAAACTTGCTTCAGTTGAATTTGCAGCATTATTGTAAATATTTTTTTGGAGCATCAGTACATTTTTGTCAGTGGAGTATTCATGTGCTGGAGAAATACTCTGTGCTGGAGTAAGACAGCCTCTCCATAAGATTTCCACTCTTCAACTGACAGCTAGTCTGTCCTGGACAACCCCTTCTGAGAGTTGGGAGTTAGGGGGAAGCAAGATTCTTGCTCTGACATAGATTTTTTTTTTTTTTTTTAATGAGTAATTCTTTTCTTAAAGAACTTGTAAACTTCTTCAAAACAGCTAGAACTTTTTCCCAATAAGCCCTTCATATATAGTTTCTCTGATCCGTTGTTGTAGAATGTGTATTAAGACCTATGGATTTGTGTTATATAGGAAGTCTTACTGTTAATATTTTAGTGATGTGAAAGCCTGAGTGCTACTGTCATATTTTTCATTTGCTTTGGGTTATGTGTATCACTTCTAAAAATAGTGTTTGCTTGGTGAGATTGGAGCTATCAGTCAACACCATGTTACTAAAAAAAGTCTATTTTCTTTTCCTGGGTAAATTTGTTAAATTGGAGACGTCATCAAGTTCAAACTTCTCTAGTAACTATATGAGAATTCTTTGTGGATTGGCTACACTTGAGCAAAAACTCCACTTCAGGAGTGTGTAAAAGAGTGGATGAGGATAAAAGAAGAGGCTCGGAGAGAAATGTCGATTGACCTGGAGAGCACTGGAGTGGCGAACCGATCAAAAACCAGTTTTATATGAGTGTAAAGAATGGGATGGGGGGGAGAGAAAAATCTTTTCTTTGTGAATGGGTGTGGGAGGGTCCCGAGATTAACGGTAAGGCAAAGTTTGTATATAGTTAAAAGTTTATAATTTTTTTTATATGATGCATTTTTTCAAGTGTATTTTGGTCTTTAATAGATGCAATTGTAAGTACTGTGTACACTATCCAGCTAATAAAAATTTATAAACCAAGAACGAACTTTGGCTCTGTTTTTTTCAGACCTCTTCTGCTCGCGTCAGGGAAGTGTTGGCGGTGACACGGAGCCATGAGGGCGGGCTGTGGTTTTGGCACCACTCAGAAACTCCGAGGTGGCTGGTGAGCTTTCCCACCTGCCCTGAGGGCAGCTCGGCCTCCACCCTGGGGCTGGCTGGGTGCGCCTGCTGCTCCTCCGCACGGTGGGGACGGGCCCGGCCATCGCGGTGTTCATTGTCCCCTCCATCCCCCTGCTGCCATCTTGCTGCCTGAGGGGGACCCTTCCGCCCGCCCCCGGGGCTGGGCTGCTGGTGAGTGCTGGGTGCCGATTGGCTGAGGGGAGCTGGGCTGTCCCACCCCGGCTGCTCATTGGATGGGTGTTGCTCTGGGCCACCTCTGATTGGCTGGTGAAGGGGGCTTCCATCTTCCTCCCAGGCTGAGGTCGTGCCTCAAGATGGCGGCTGTAGGTGGTTTGTGTGCAGGAGCTGGGCTCTCTGGGGAGGAAGGATGGAAGAAGGCCCTCAGCTCTGACACCCACTTGGGAAATGGCCTCACAGGGCTGGAGGCGGGAAGGAAATTTGCTTGGAGCTGGCCAGTGTTGCTTTTGCGTGTCCTGGGGAAAATGTTCGGTGAGTCTGGGCTGGGAGAAAAAAGGATGTGCTAAAAAAAAAAAAAAAAAAAAAAAGTTCTAATAATGAAGAGAAGTACACCCAGTAGTCACATCATGTCCCATCCCTAACTAGACAGCTCCTGGCTGTCTCTCGGCGCAGCTGGCTCAGTGTGCCTTGGTGACGTTCCAGTCTCTGCGAGCTTGCTGTAGGATTCATTGCACTGAATAATTATCCCTGAAAGGCCACGCAGAAGCCAGTGGCTGTGCAGAAGCTGCCCTGGCGCACAGGGAGTGTCCTGTGGGTGCAGTGCTGGAATCTGTACAGGGCTGCGTAAGTGTAGGAGACCCAACTTCATGGTACCCAAATGCTCTCCTTTCTAAGACTCGTGCCTTTATGTTCTTGATTACCTTCCAGGAAGGTGATTTCTTGTCCCCAAATTCCCAAGTATCATGTCGTTATCTTTTTTGGCCAACTGTGACAGAATGGACACCCTTAGAAAGAGCTTATTTCTGTGGTTTGACACAAAATGAAGCTTTCCTCTTAAGAGGATTCGTGAGACTTTGAAAGGTTTAAGAGAGAGTCAGTTGCCGTGTCTGCCTGCTAATCCCTCTCAGGCATACTGTCTCTTCCACGAGTGCTCAGGATCTCTCAGCAGTATCGTAACTTAAACATTCACTACAATAATGTAAATACTTTTATCAAGGCTGAGGTTCCGCACTGTTAGGTGATCTTTGTGTGTTTCCAAGTAGTTGTGTGTTACAGTATTGTTGAAAGAGTTGTGTATATTTACAGTTTGCAAAGCTCTTTGGGTTAAAGGCAGCCAGATAAAAAAATCAAAGCATTATGTTCTGCCTGTTTTTTCTTCCTGTGTTCTTAGGATAGGCGCTTTTAGAAGCAATGTGCTGAACTTCACAGATGTTTGTAGCAATACGTTATGTTCTGGGAAGAACAATAGTCACTACTGCAGTGCAGGGGGACTCACTGGTGCAAAAGCAGCTCTCAGCTAGCAGAGGTTGAAACCACACGTGAATGTCACTAGATGGCAACAAACAGAACAAAAAAGGCAAGTTTTACCCCAAACACTGCTCCGTTTCTTTCTCCTGCAGTGAATGCCTTAACGGGGCTTTCCAAGTGAACCAAGTGCAGGTGACATCTTTCCACTAGCTGTAAACCACCTTGGAAATCCCGGATGAGTTTGTAGTTAGCTGCACTGAAGTGGTCAAAAGGGACTCCAATGGAAAGTTGGTGTGTGCTTCCAATGCCAGTTACAGTGGGACGTGACCATCCTGCCTATGTTAAGTGTTGAAATCAGGAGGATGGTGTCCCCATGGGTGAGATAGAAGTGCCTCCAGCAGGCAGTTCAGAGTCAGTCCAGTTAGGACCCTCTGTCTGGAAGTATCTTCTGAAGGTGCCTTTTTCCCTCTGTCGAATGTACAGGATCTGGCCTCCTAACTCGGAGTCTGTTGTGAGGTGCTGCAAAGCCCCCACAGGCTGGTGGGCAGTGTGGGTGCTGAAGGAAGCTGTCCTGGTTTTCTGTCCCTGCATTGCTGGCAGCTCTGCAATCATGATGAAATGCAGAAATTCTGGAAGTGTGACTGTTGGCAAATAGAGCAGAATAAACCCTCAAGGACCTCATAGCTGAAGATTTGTGAATGCAGAAGAGCTTGAAGGGCAGCGACCCAAGGGAGTTAAGCAGGCATTGTAGGCCTGGAGGGAACACCCTCGGTACACAATAGGTTATCTCATTACAAAGCCACTCAGATATTGATTTTTACAGCTTTTTGCTTTACTCTTAATTTGAAATTTCTTTCAGTTCCCTAACAAGAACAGGAGGAGACTAATTTAAAGCAATCCCTCACTTTGGAGAGAAATTCCTCTATCTGCTAATCTTGGGCTAGTCACAGTTGCCAGGATCTTGTCCTTTATTGCTTAGTTTTCCTTTCTGGTAATCAATATTTTGCAATTACTAGTCACCTTTGTTTTGTTCAGCAGGAAACTCCTCAGCCTCTGTAGTTTGTAGTATATCCAAAACTCAGTTTACTTTCCCATTTTGCTTTCTGTGGGTTTTTCAAGACATGGAGCAGAACTGGGTGGTTTATATGATGGCTAATAAAACATTGTCCTTTTCATCTCTGCCTTTCGCTCAAATCTCCCTGGCTTCTTAGGCATATGGCAAAGTTTGCCCAATTTGCAAAACTGCTACTGGAAGGCACTTAGATGGCATAGTACTGTGATTACTTTAGCAGAATCTCTAGAGTAGCATTTATTGTGTGATTGCTGTGTTCTTAGAGTGCACTTAGGGCAAGAGCTCTTGGCAGGTAACAGATGAAGGTGCCCAGCCACTAGTCATATGGACATTCATTTACTCCCTATTAGAGATTACAACTGTCCTCTTAGTGTTTCCTGCTCTTGAAGGAAACAAGAAAAAAGTAACTGTTTCACTATAGGCTGCAGAGAATGTTTAGATTTGGAGTGAGTTTTAACTAGATGTCTTGTAGAAGGACAGAGATGTCTGGAGGCACAGGAATGGAATGTATTGACTAATAGCCTCAGTCTTAGAAAAAAATTCCTGTCCTCTTATATCTTGTCAGCTGTGCCCTGCCCATCTGATATGGCCACTTCCTAGAATGCTGAAACTTTATTTCCTGCTACTATCAAATGAAGGATAAGAGCTGGGAGGACGTGCGAGACATGAGCCAGATACATGTCTACACCACTATTCAACAGCTAATATAGAACTAGGACGCTAACTAGCTGTCTCTTGTCAGGCTTGTCAGAAGACCTGGCCAGGTCTGTAACGTCCCAGAGCCTGCTCATACCTAAATTAGACCGTTCCTGAATGTGGTTCCGCAGCTGAGCATAACAGAAGTAGATTGGATGGACTGCTGATCTTTTTGAAATGTAACTACCAAACATGCCAGTCTGAACTGGCTCTTCTGATAATTCTTCCTCCGCTGTGGGCAGTCCAGGTTACTAGCAAATCTCCATCATTTGCACAGAAGGATGCAAGATGCGACAAATCTAGACAGGTTTGAAAATATTTCTCGTGTCTTTATCTTAAATCAGGCCGTTACTTTTTTACATTTTATGACAGAGTACTGATGCTGTCCGTAGAGATAAACTGTCCCTAGAAACACCCTCAAATTCATCATGATCTTCTAATTTGTAGGCAGAGAGGGGTATACCAGTGAGCCTCTGTTAAGTTCATTATTTAACTTCTATTACTTTAGGATCTGAGGCCCTCAGAACTTCCACTGTGTGTGCCATTGCACCCAGATGAGGAATTTAGGCATGGAAAGTTTTAGGTGCTTTCAAAGAGGCTAAGTAAGGAGTTGAATTTATATATGGAAGCTTATCATGTTATCCACTTGACTTTCCTCATGTGTATCATTTCAGACCTTAATGGTATGGTCCCCACACCAACACTTTTGACATCTCAAAAATGACCCAAAGCACAAGGGTGTCAGTCATTAATTCTTTAAAAAAAAAAAAAAAAAAAAAAAAAAAGAAGAAGAAAAGGAAATAACAGCATGCAAGAACACAAAATGGGAAGTTGGGACAGGAAGTGAACAATGAACTCATGCAAACCTGTTTAGGAAGCCAGAAATTGATTTCTTTAGCCGTTACGTGTTTTTTTTGTTGTGTTTTTTTTTGTTTTGTTTTGTTTTGTTTTTCTAGCTTTATTTTCAGAGAATTTGCAATAGAGGGACAAAATAATCTGTTATCATGTAGCCACATCAGACCAGTCAACAGAATTTCCTTCTTCTCTCCCCCCGCCTCTCTCTCCCCCACACCCTTCACAACTGTACAAGCACTCACAGGCAGAGTGGAGTTTATATGATTCATGGATTTATTCTCTGCTTTTTCACATTCCTTTCCTCCCATGCTACCCAGTACTGAGGTTGAAGTCTTCTTGCAATCTCAATACCAAAAACTTAAACCCATTTTTGTATCATATTCATCATCCTCAAGGTCCAACTCACAGAATTAAGATGAAAATCTCAGTCAGATGAATTTTGGGATTTATCCGTAATCCCTAATGGATGTTTGTACATATCACCATGATAACAGGATTCAGTAGTTTGATCAAAACGTGTAATTTATAATAAAATCAAGCTGGATTTGCACTGTAGCATGGGTGTGGCACTAAAGGCAAGGAAATGCAAAGTTATTTCTTTGTAAAAATAAATAAATAATGTTGTGTAAATTCTACACCCATGTGTTCAAGCTGAAGGCATTTTATACTGTAACGTGGACAAATATTTTTCAGTAAGACCTGTTTACTAAAACATGCCAAATGCATTACTTGTTTCATGGAATTCAGAGAGACAACTCATGCGTTTAAAGCAAATCGGATTCTTTACCACTTTGTTGACTTGGATCTTA